TCACTTTGGAGATCTTGTAAGGTAATTTCTTTTTTCTTTTCCTTACTGAATCTTTCCATAGTTTTGTTAAGACTTACAATTTGTTTTTCAGGAACAGGTTGTTTACTGTCCTTTTTAAACAAATTCCTAAGTTGTTTAACATACTTTTCTTTTAGATCTGGATCCTCTATCTTGGAGATTAGATCTATAAGCATGTGTTCTTCATTTTGTTTAGTGATTACCCGAACTTGTTTATGACAAGCACATCCTAATTGGACATGAGGGTGATCAGATGCTGAATGGTAGTCAGAAGAATCTGATGGCTCTACTGGACTTTCGGATTCTTCAGAACTGTCTAAATTATTTATCCTAAAGATTTCTAGGATTTTATCCTCATCTTCTTGAGATAAATTTAATCTTTTAACCTGTTTTTTAATTGGACAATCAGGACTAATATGGCCTGGTTTGCCACAATTAAAACATTTAATATCTTCTTGTGCTTTTCCTTTTCCCTTTGCTGATTTCTTATAAGGTTTAGGCCGATAATGCTTTTTGGACTTATTAGAAATCTCAGTTTTAGGTTTAGAAAAAGACTTCTTGTGTTTTTGATAAAACCTATTTTTTGAATAAGTGCGGTGATGTTTAGGTTTTTTGTGAGGTTTAGATTGGGAAGGAGCTACTGGCTGCAATCCATACTGTTCACAAAAATTACCTAATTCATATTTGGCTTTTTGTTTCTCATTTGTTAATTGCTTATTAATCCTCAGATCAATACACCATTTTAATCCTACATTTTGGATGGTGCTAATGAGTTCTCCATAAGCAAGATTATCATATTCAATAATTCCAGTGTCTTTGCTAAGGGCTTCTCTTACCTTATGGGCAAAAAGATTGGGTAGTCCATTAACAAATTTTTCTTTCCAGAATGCTTTCTGGCAATCTGGTCGAACCATGACACGTGAAACAAAAACATCCTTATACCACCTAAAGTCACTTAAAGTGGGACATCTTAGGTTGGTAAGTTGGTCGTGGATCCTAGCAGTAATGCTACTAGGTGTTCCTACAAAGTGTTTAATGATGGTGAATATAAGAGTATTACATCCATCAGGTTTAGCCAATCCAATCCTTTCATCAAAAATTGGATTTCCTTCATCATCTCTAAGGACAGCATAAATAATACTTTCCTTTTGGTCTGAGGTGAGATAATTATCCCACCAATCTCGTAAAACACCTGTGAATCCTGAGGTTATTAGTTTAACAATATCAGGTTCAGGGCTGTCAAGATTGGTCATATAATTATTAATCACCATAGACAGATGACTAATTTTATTAATGATTTCCTGTTCACTTAATCCATCTATGTTCCATTCATAGAGTTTATTGGACTGAACAGAAAATTGATTTAATACATTTTTTTCTTCATATTGAAGATCTGGTGGTGTAGGTCTAGGATACCAATTCTTAGTGGAATTAGTAGGGAGCCTAACTAAAGCATTGAGCTTGGAAATAGGTTGGGTCATGCTGTGATCTGCAAACTGTTTTTCCAAGTTTTCAATTTCAGAATCAGAGTCATTGGTATCTTCCAGACTACTGTATTCTGAACTTTCTTCAGTTTGGTTGATGACTGTTACTTGAGAAGTACTAGTAGATTCCTTCTTTGAGATGAGTGCATCAATTTGTTGAATTAGGTTTTTATCTTTTAAACCTAATTCTTTCTATTTTCAGGGAGACTAACTATTGGTCTTTCTACCTGTTCTGTTTTGAGATTATCTATTTTAGTTTCAATTTTATCCAACTGTTTTCCTATAGTAATTAGGCTTTGGTTGGTAAAATTTACTTGTTCAACTACTTTCTTTTCAGATTCTAAAATTGGAATCTTAAAAGGTGTAGCCTTAACAGTTTCTGTTAAATGTTTAATTTGAATAGTCTCTGCCGGAGGGTGACTAGAAATTAAAACATCAGAATCTGTTTTCCATTTTTGCTTAGTTACTACCTTTACTTCTTTATGGAAGTTTTCTAGATAGTCTTCAAAAGCTATTTCGGATTCTAATTTATACATTAATTTTACCCATTCTTTTTTAATGGTTTCTTGGGTTTTACAAGATAAAGATTCAAAAGCTTTTCTGAGAGGTTTAAATTCTACAGCTTTGAAATCCTTTTTTAACTTGTAAATATCAGGCATAAAGAATTCTTTTTCCCTATTGATAGTGTATAATTGATGAATCTTGTTATGATTAAGGTTTCCATCAAATGCACTAGCAGTGGGTGATAGAGAAGGTGAAAATTCATCATTCTCTGCTTTTTAAATTCTGTATATCTAGACTGTAAAGGTACACTTAGGGGAGTGTATATTGGTCTAACAACAGGTTCAGAGGAGCTTGCTATTCCTTTTAACCTATGGTCAAGTTCTTTAGCAATTTCTCTGTCTCTATGGGAAACAGAAGAAAAATCAGATCTTCTTCCTTCCAAGATCTATGCTGATCGGTCACTAAATCTGTTAGATCTATTGGACCTTGCAGAGTCAAAAGATATTTTAACTGATCCATCTGGGAGTTGTTGAATAGTCTCCAGATCAGTTGTAGTTGACACAGATTTAGCTTCTTTATTATAGTTTTCATTTCGCATAATCCAAGATTCAGACAAAGTAACATCTTTCCAAAGTATCTGTTTTGGAATCTGGATGTTAGTTTGTTCAGAACTAGCTTGGATTAACATAGTGTACCTTTAGGACTTGGATCAAGACATTGTACATTAAAATTGGTACGAATGCACTTGTAGTAAATCTTGTAGATGAGTACTATGGAACTAGTGTTTTTGACTAATCTGGTAATATCGCCTGTGAGACGGATACCAAGAGTTAAAGCCATGTGTGTGTTAGGGCAGTGTAGATCTAAGGTAAAGTCAGGGAAACAATTAAAGTAAACTGGACCTCGGTGGAGTCCTATTTCCATGATTTCCAAGACACCAGGTTCCCAATCAAGAAACCTTGCGTCTCTGAGAACTAATAAGGCAGCAACATTTCTGTCTTGGGTAATAAGTGGTTTAATGGCTACTTGGACAAGACCTATGTGAATAAAATTAAATCCTTTGGTCTTGTGTTTCTTAAGGGTCTCCATACTGAGGAGTTCACAGATATCATCCTCTTTCCTGAGGGGATGTACCTGTTCAACAGTTTTAACTTGGTGTTCTTCATTAAAGGTTTTTTGAACCCAAGTTGTGCTGTAAATACATTTTTCCTTAACCGGAGGAATGTTCCATTTTTTCCAGTCTGCCTTAGATTCTTCTACTTCTAGTTCTTCTTCATTAACTCTATGTGGTATAGAATAATCTGAAGATCTAGATGTACTAGCCCTAGAATTAGATCTAAGAAATCTACTCATATTTTAAATTTAAATTTTTTCAAATTAGAAATAACAGGTAAGTTTTAACTACACGATACATACCCCCTAATCTGGCTCCAAATTCTCTCAACTTCTCGCCTAAAATCCCTTATCTGCCACAACTGGACTTACACTCAGGACAAAGAAAGGCTTACGTGCTCTTGAGGTTCTGGATTAAGGCTGGGTGACCGGGTACAATTAAAACTTACAAATGATTTCTAATGTGAATCAAATGAAAATTTAAAGATGAGTTAGATGACTCAAATGTAATTGCAGAGATAGGACACCAGGCCGTCAATATATATATATATATATATATATATATATATTATATATATATATATATATATATATATAATATATATATATATATATATATATTGTCTTTTTTTCATGTTTATGGATTGTTAAATCCCCAACTAAAGTTAGGGGAGATACTTTCAATGAAGTACAATATTTATTTTTGATCTAATGTTCTACTAATGCATGATTTATTTTTTAAAATTTAATTCTTATTTTTTAGTTAATTTTTTGCTCTATATAAGATTTATTATATCATATATATCAAATACTTGAGATTCCTTGCGAGTTAAATAACTGGTTATTTCATGCTTGAATTAATTAAATAGAATTTTTCATAAAATATTTAATTTCTTAATTGTTATAAATTATGGTTTATTTGTTGGAAAGCTTGATTTATTGTAGACTCCAAGCATGATGAATGTTTGTGATCTATAAATAAATTCCTAAATTTTTTCAACTAATTTATTAATTATACTTTTGATGTTTTCAATATTATTACTACTAAATATTCTAATTGAGATAACTCCTCGGCTGATTCTCAATTGAGTTCAAAGACCGAATCATTAATAATTGTCGTGTGAAATTGAAAGGGTATCTTCGATACTTTAATATTTTCTCATATTGTTTTAAAACCAATTTTATTCTTTTCCAAATCTCTACAATAAATTTTCAAAGCAATTTTTCTTGTGTTCTAAGTTTTGTATAGTTTCCTGTGGTTCGACCTTAGAACAGTTTCTTGTGAGGGTGGAGATGTTTGTTCCCTATAGTTGACCGATACAATATCTATCTCCCAAGGAAAGTCTGTTTCTTCGTATAAGCCATTGAATCCGAATTGAGATTGCCCTTACATCCCTTCATTCGAGTTGTTCTTCGCTTTTTCAACCTATGTCCTACTAGGATGTCTCCTAATGGTTGGGGTTTGTTGATTGTATTTTTGGTCTTTTGGCTAGATAATGGCCTTGGTTTCGCCCTTACTATTTCCAAACTTTTTCAGTTTTTGCACCTCAAGTGTTCTCCATCCAATGGTTTCTTCTATTTTGCCAAGTGAGTCAAGCCAGATATCCTAATTGTTGGGACTTTGACTTATCACAAAGGTTGGAAATAATTTTTTTTTTTTCCGTCTCAGGCGATGCTTGGAAGTTGAGGGGGATCTTTCAAAGTCTCTCCAAGTCCCTCAGTTATGGGATGACCCTAAGAATTTGGGTGAGTTTGGTGTAGATGGGGTATTTTACCACTATTCTTATCTTCTATTATTGCTCCTGGCCTATCTTTATTTTGACTTATAGGGCATACACCCATATTGACTTGATCTGAATGGATTTGAGTGGTCCTTGCTAGGAGCTCATAACTCCTAAGAATCTTGCTAAGCACAACCTCGGCCCCAAGGTGCCAAAGGAGCTTCCTAGCCCAACAGGTGAGGGTCTTCAAATTGAGCAACATTTCTTTGGTAGGCTTTCACATCTTGTTTTATTCCTTTTCTTACTTCAATAGTGACACTAACACTTTTGCTTCTTCAGATCTGTCTTCTATGGCCCCTGAAAAAGACTTGGTGAAAGAGGCAATGGCCATAAGAAAAGAGTTTAGGAAGGGCGGCGGGTCTAGGACCAACAAAAAAAGGCGCTTGGTGACGGTTGGCGAGACTGATCTACTTCTTAGCACTGACCTCCCTTTGTCTAATGAGGTCAATCCCATGGACCGTCCTCCAACTTAGGATAATGAGCTTGAAGTTACTCCTCTAGGAAGATAAGAAAACCTCATTGTGGATCCATCTTCAGAGGTTAGGGTTACCAAGGAGATCAGGGTTCCATATAGATTTCCATAGCTGCTTGGGCACTTGATAGGATGATGATGGCTTGCACAGATCTTGGATTTTTGATGAGATTTGGATCTGGGCATGGTATCCACTTTTAACTAAGTATTGGCCATTTTTGATAAAGGTCCATCTTAGTAAATTAGGCAGTTGTGTGTGACTAAAGGGAATAGCCAATATGGTAATAACAATTTCTGGTGGGAAGGAAGATGAGATGAGGGTTGAATTCCATCTTCTTGGGTTGTCTTGTAGGAGTTCATTGACTCTTTGGATGCTGCTATTTAGTGCGTTGGGATTACTCTTAAACCCAAGGACCCAACAATCACTCCACACCCTCACCTTGTTCCCATCCCCTATTTGCCAATAGCATCCCATATCCATGAATCAATAGGTTTTATCTTAACTTGCCAAAAGGTTTGGCTCATGTGATACTTAGCCCTTAATATTTGCGCCCATAAGGAGTCAGGTTGCTAAATTAGCCTCCATGCCTGCTTCTCCGGCATTGCCTTCTTGAAACTCTCAAGATCTCTGAATCCCACCATCCATATTTCCCTTTGTCATTTGGTCCCACCTCCTTCAATGAATCCCTTTCTGCCCTAATGATTTGCTCCACCAAAATCTCTTGATGGTTGATGTTATCTCCTTACAAAAGAAATTGGGAACTTGAAAATTGATAGCATAAGTAGGGATGGCTTGAACCACTGCCTTGATAAGGACCTCCCTCCTTGAGTGATTGGGTAGCTTTTCCTTCCACCCATTTAGTTTGTTCTGTATTCTTTCCTTCAGCCAGTTCAGCACCTGCCTCTTTGATCTCCCCCATTCTGTAGGAAGCCCCAAATATTTCCCCACTTTCTATAGAACATGCACTCTAAGGTACCCCGATAACTCCTACTGAACCTTTAAAGGGGTGTTTTTACTAAAAATTACCCCTGATTTGTTAAGATTAACTAGCTGTCCTATGACATAACAGTACTTATTTAGAACATCCAAAAGTTTCAAGCATTCTTCTCTAGTAGCTGTGGAGAATAAAACAACATCATAAGCAAAAAAGAGATGCAAGAGGGCAAGGGAGCTCTTGTTCACTTTCATACCCTTCAGTGTTCCTTCTTTCATGGCTTCCTACACCAGAGATGTTAGGCATTTTGTAACTAGCAGAAAGAGATAGGGGGAGAGAGGATCCCCCTATCTTAATCCTCTGCTGAGATTGACTTTTACCACTCTCTCCCCATTTACAATGACATTATATCTAACTGTAGTTACACATTGCATCAGAATAGAAACTAGTTTTGGTTCAAAACACAATCTTCCCAAGAGATCCCTAAGAAAGTCCCACTCTATCTTATCATAGGCTTTTGACATATCCAGTTTGATGGCCATTTGGTATTTACTAGTTCTCCTCCTATGTCTCATGGAATGCAGCATCTTTTGGGCAATGATGATATTATCTTGTATTTGGCACATTCCTATGAAGGCACTCTGATTGGGTGAAATTAGTTGGTCTAGGAAGGGTTGGAGTCTAGTTGCTAGTATCTTTAAAATTATCTTATAACTAAAATTACAGCAACTTATAGGTCTGAACTCCCCTACTGTTTCTGGATTTGTGACTTTTGGTGTCAAGGTTAGGTTTGTTTCATTCATTTCATTAAGCAGGAATCCTTTTTGGAAAAAATAATGGACAACATGGAATACCTCATTCTTTATAATATTCCAGTATTTTTGATAGAAGATACCTAATATTCCATCTGGTCCTAGTGCCTTTTGGGATCCCATGATGAAAGCTACTTTCCTGACCTCTTCCATTGGCGGTTGTTGTAGGAGTTCCCTATTCATTTGTGTTGTAGCCTTCAGAGGAATCTATTGCAAATGCTGTGCATAGTTTCTCTCACCTTTAGTCCTGTAGATATTCTGGTAATGCTTATTTACATGTGCTATAATGCTTTTCTTGTTAGTCACCCAATTCCCATTGGGATCTTTTGGCATTTGAATCCGATTTCTTTGCCTCCTTTGGATAGTGGTCGCATGAAAAAATTTTGTATTTCGGTCACCCCACTTGATCCACTTCAACCTTGACCTTTTCCCCCAATACTTCTCCTCTCTCTGCCATGCAATTCCCATTTCTCTTTCAGTCTTTAAAATCTCTTCTTCTTGGACATTAGGATAGCTCTGGTTTTGCAGGTCCATCAATCTGGCTTTTAGGCTTTCGATTTGTCTTTTACTATTTGAAAAATAGCTGGAACTCCATGCCCTTAAATCCTTCCCACACTCCCTCAATTTGTATTGCAGCTTATACCTCCTAGACTCCTTTTGTTGCTTTTCCCAACTGTGCTTGATAATCTCTGTGCATTGTTCCTCATCCGCCCAGTACGCTTCAAATTTAAAGTACCTTCTTGGCATATCCCTTCTCCGTTCTGTGTCAATCACAAGTGTTGAATGATCAGATCCCACCGCTGGAGGGACTATAGCATCTGCATTAGGGAACATCATCCTCTAGGTAAACAAGATCAGTGCTCTATCTAGTTTCTCCATGACATTAGCAACCCCTGCTCTATGATTGTACCACGTAAACTTACTCCTTTTACTTTCCAACTCAATCAAGTTACACTCATCAAGAAAGGTTCTGAAATTCTTCAATTTGTATCCCTCTCTTTCCCTACGCCCTTCCTTTTCATGATTAGCTGCTATGTCATTAAAATCCCCTAGATACAACCAAGGCATTTCCATAGCCCTCCCATAGGCACTTAGTCTTCTGCATTGCTCCCTCATTTTCTCATAATTTGGGTTATAGTATATAAAGCTCAAATGCCATCGATTAGCTATATTTTGGCCTCACATAGTGATGTCAATCTGGTTTTGATTATATCCTTCCACCTTGAACTCTATTTCCTTCTTACAAAAAATACACATACCACGAGCTAAACCCACTGGTTCTACAACAAATTTTCTATCAAAATTTAACTCTCTCCTTAATCTTTCAATTCGATTCTCCTTTATTTTGGTTTCACTAAGACACATTAGCTAGGGCTTTCTTTGGACACATAGGTCCTTTATAGCTAGAACTGTCAAGGGAGCTCCTAATCCTTGACAGTTCCATGAAACTACCCATCTCCTCAATCGTACAAGTGATCTCCTCATTCTATTACATCCTGATTTCACGGTCACCCTCTATCTTCCTGATTTCTTTACTTCTTTTGAACTTCCTGACTGTCCTCCTTGTGAGAGGTTGAGTCTTTTTCACCATTCCTCTCTCTTCTTCTGTGAAGGCCTATTCCACTACGTTTTCATTTAGGTGAGTAATCTCTATGTCTACTTGGCCATCTTGAGTAGTCCTTGGTCCTGTTGGTATAAAAGCCAACATCTCATCATCCCTCCGATACACCTTTCTAGGCTGTCTTCAAACTGTTCTACTGTGATGGACCATTTGATAGATAGTCCTTGAAAAAAATATGTCATGCAATAGTCCGCCAATATCTCAGGGTATGAGAGAGGGACTAAGGTCACTTTTCTCAAAGTAAGATTTCTTTTGTTGTGGGATCCAGATGGGACGTGTGGCAAAATTGGTAGATTGGTTTGGTTTCATTACTTTTTGGCTTGTGAGTATGGAGGTAATATGGAAGGCTCAGTGTTAAAGGTGTTAGTTTTCCCATTGGGTCCCTCGGCTGAGTTATTTGGTCCTTGACTTTTAATAAGGAGGAGGTTTTCTTCCTACATTTGGTTTGTGTTGTTATTTCTAGGGTTTTCTTGGATGGTTTGGTTTTGGGTTTGGTTGGCTATAGGTTGGCTTTGGTCCAGCAGGGAGGCCTTACCTGGGCTCTTATGGGTTTTTGGTTGGTTGGGCTTTGGGGTGAGTAGTGTTTGGTGGTTTGGTTTTGATTGGCTATGGGTTGGCTTTGGTCTAGTGGAGAAGCTTCATCTGAGCTCTTATGGGTTTTTAGTTGGGTTGGGCTTTGGGGTGGACAGAGTTTAGTGATCTGGTTTGGTCGGCTATGGGTTGGCTTTGGTCCAATGGGAATGCTTTATCTAGCCTGCTATGGTTTTTTGGTTGGGCTGGGCTTTGGGGTGAGCAGAGGTTAGCCTTCATCACTTCTGGGTCATTTTGGTTCTTCTTTTGGGCTGGGTATTGAGGTAGGTATAGGTTCACCTCTGGTATCTTAGAAACTGGGAGGTTGGGGGTGGTATCATCATATTGGTTTGTAGGAGTTTGTTTCGTAAATACCTTAGCAGCGTTCTTTTCCAGCTGTTCCTTTTGCCTGGTGTCGCGTGTGCCTTTGTCAGCATCATACGGTTGTGAATGCTCACACTGCGTACCCATTTTATTCTCCATTTTGATGTTCTCACTGTTCTAGACTGTCATCTCCTCACTTGCTGTAGTTGCGTCATCTTCTGTACATATCGTAATTGTCTTTTCTGGCGCCATCTGCCTTTCCATGGAGAAATTTATGGATGCTCGAAGATAAGGGCTAAAAGGTGTATCCTGACCCATTTTCTTAGGGAACCCACAAAAAGCTTGGTCATGGTCAATACGCCCACAATTATTGCAAAAATCACACAGGCATTCATACTTGAGCTCGACTTTCTTACTCGAGAAGCCTACTCTGGGTACTCAAAAGCTCGTGGTTAGAGGCTATGTTAGATCCATCATCACCCTTGTTTAGAGATAGTTTGTCCAAATTTTCCTTTGCGTAAGACTCTTCAAATCTCCTATTGGTTTGCCTAGTGTCTGCTGTTTTCATCTCCGGTGGTAACCTATGGGCTTGCACCCAAAACGAGCCATACCTGAAGCTTAGGTCTGAGCTTGCCTCATTTGGACTCCAAATCTGAAGTATCATCAGCTGACCTTTAACGAACCATGGCCTCTATTCCAGTACCTTATTCCTCAAGCTCTCATCGAAAAGGATGAAGAT